AAACGTTGTGGTGAAGCACAGTAAACATTTTGGCATGAATGTCATGATGCTGGTAATCCATGCACAACCCAAAGCATTTAAAATATCACAACACCAACAGACATCCCAACAAACCAACGAACCCCCGTCAGCAAAACCCAAAAACAAACGATGGGAAACACCAGAAACCAAACAGAAACCGTGAAGCCACAGCACAGCGTCTGAACGTGAACCCGGCTGGTGAACGTGCCCCTTCAGGGTCAGTTTCTACAGTCGGACCCAATCTGCAACCCAAAGGTGTCGTTGTCGATAAAGCTACGCCTGGTTCAAAGTGTCAATAAAGTTTTTTGGTCGTTAAAATCGCAGATTGGGTCCAAAACTGACTGCGTATCACCACGTGAGGGCAGCTTCACCACAGAACAAGTGAACCAAACCCACAAAGCACACGACCAGAGCAGATGATTGACAGACCAACACACGTCACATGATCAATAACGGAGCATGAACCTGAGCGAGCTCGCTGCGTCCAGGTGACTGTGGGAGGGCGGAGTCAGGGGGGAAAGAAGGACAGGTTAGGTTCACCGCTCGGCTCCACTGCACCATGAAAACACTCAAAACCATCTAGCTTTCATATTTGTTTGTCTTTTTTGCAAAGCATGCTGGGTAACGTCCGGCCTGACAGACCTGGGAGGGGACGGCGTCCGCATCGCCGGGGCTTAAGTCCGCCTCCTTCAGGGTCGTAGCCGTGGTGATGGAGGTCAGAATGAAGGGGGGTGGGACACGGGGCACGGAGAAAGAAAAGAGTGAAATGGATGATGGGAAGAAGCGGCTCTGTCGCCCCCGGCAACAGGGGAGCGCTGCAGGTCATGTGACCTCTGAACCAAAGGAGTCTGAGATGGTCAGTGGACGGAGACAGCAGGTGGCGCTATTCTATATTAAAACCAGGATTTACAGCTAATGGAGCAGTCACATGTTCCCCTAAACAACCTTTTATTCATTTCTTTCTAAATGCTGAAGCTGACGAGTCAATTCGTTAATGTTTTAATAATCACACCGAGAACAACTTCTGCTGGGAGCCGACCGATTATTGTGTTGTTTAACTGTCTGAACCCCAAAACAAGCCGGCGTTTTTTAATGTTTTTGGGGAAAAAAATAAAATAAAATTGCCAAAATTCAACCATTTATCAGCCAGAAACTGTACAAACAAAAAGGATTCATGGATTTTCGAGTTTCCGATCGTCCTTCAACAATCAGGTTTGTGCTTCTGAGCTTAAAATCGCAAAAAATCATCGACATCACTTCAATCTACGTGTCTCGCTTAAAAAGTTTGTGTCAGAGTTTGTAATAAACCGAACAAATCCCAGCTGTGTTCAAAACCTCAAAGAGTTTTGAGGTTGAACTGCAGGCAGTGTTTAAAAAAAACACCCAGAAACTGCTGTTTGGAGTTCAGAGGGTTAATCGATGTCGCGGTACATAAAACACACACATCGGTCGACCCCTAACGTTTACTACAAGTTTGGACCTTTGCTATTAAAACAAGAAGATTTTGCACCTTTTCTCCACCAGCTTTTCCTTTTCGTACACATGTATTCAGTTCTCTGTCTTTGCTAACACATCTGTTCTCCACAACTTCCTCCAAACGAAAACCGTATTTAAAGCGACACTTGGAGAGACGAGGACGGAGCGAAGGCCTCGGCGATCCGGACACGTGTAACACTGTTCACTCCTAACATTCAGTAGCACTTATGTACAAACACAAGAAGCCGAAGTGCTGCGAGTCTGAGGGGGAAAGCGTCCGCTGTATGTACAGATCTAACATCTAAACAACTAATCCGTCAGCGCAGCCCTTCGTATACACAGTTCATGTTTTCATATTCCACGTACCGACTCATCTTAGCCTGCCTCTTCATGTCGGGGATTTTATTAAGAAAGAGAATAAGTTTGTAAAAAAAAATCCTAAAACTGTTCTCTAGATATTATTTTTGCTGAAGGAGGTTGAAATTGGTACCAAACATCCACAAAATGATGTTTGTACTTTATATTATATTTTATTATTGAAGATAATCAGTACAGATGTGTTTAAAAAATACTGACAGATGTGATATTATTTCATGATTTAATTTTATTTTTTTTAAACAAGCGTTGTTTTTACGTTTGAAAGACAGAAAAACATCGACTGAAGCTGAAAACAGAAAAGCAGAATTTATGCCAAATGTACACGATAAAGCAGCAAATATGTAACCATGGAATAATATAGTAACATGTAATTTTATTTAAATTTTTTATGCCTCTGCAAATATAAATTTTCCTTTTGCGATAAAAAGTTTCCAAGAAATTAATTCTTCTTGTGAAAATAATAATAATAATAATAAAATACCGTCAGAATATTTTACAAAGTGTGTCCTGAAGCTAAATTTACAGGTTTTAAACGCACCGTTAGATGACTTCAGGACGTGATAGAATTAAATGAACAACACACAAGATTAATAAAGCACATTGTTGAACCCTAACACTTTGTCGTTCAGGTGGAAAATTAGAGTTTCCTGTTATCAGGCAGCTCATCATTAAAACGTTCAGCAGCGACCGTTCAGCTGCAAATTAACGTCAGAGCTTTGTGAGGATTCAGAACAATTTTCAACCTGATTTAATGGAAAATAATTAAAGAAGGAGGACAAGACAGAATCAGAAAAATGATTACATTTAGCTTCAAGGGCTAAAAAAATAGATTTCTAGTCATACATATATATATTTTATTCTCTGTGTTATATCTACGCTTACTATCAACGACTTAAAAGTACATTTGCCATAAATTCAGCCGTAACAAAGTGCATTTAACTCTTCTTTAAATTAAATCTGAATCTTAAGCACTATGACCTGAATCTTAAAGAAGAATTATCACAGTTTCGAGAACTGAAAACAGAAAAGGTGAAAGTTGTGTCGATGTTTTTGCTCGAATTTCAACCTGATGAGGACAACTTTAGCCAACTCACTGCTAAGAAACCATGTAGAGAAGAGCTTTAGCATTTCTGTTTTTAACTTTTTTCCCAATAAAATCCACGGCATGAAGCGGAAGAGCGTCGCGAGTTCGGCGTCGAACGAGCAACAATCTGCTGAACGTTACGGAGCAACAAGACGACTAACAACGCCTGAACACGGCGACTCTAAACTACATCAATTTTGCCTTTTTTTTTTTTTTTGCAAACTCTCTCCTTCAATCACAGCCTCTGTACAGTATTTAAACTCTGAATATACCTACTTTGCCTCTATATCAACAATATAATAATAAACGAGTCTATGTTTTATGTGTTTAACTCTCCTCTCGGCTCGTTTAATCCTATTTATTCTGCTCTTTATAAACAGCACAGTGGGGTTGGAGGTGAAGGAAGTGCTGGTGGCATCCACATACGTACATTAAATACATTCACACGGGGGTCAAACGGAGGGAGGCATGATGGGAAATGCGGTTCTACGCGGCCGGGTCGCACACGTCTTGCGTCCAGGCCGTGTGGTGCCGGACGCGAGGAGGCGTGTGCGTCGGCGTGAGAGGAAACGCCGGCTGGTTGTCGCACCGATCGCTCGGCTCGCTCATGAACACGGGCAGGACGGTTTTCCTCTGATTGGACACGACGTTCTCCAGGTAGCAGAGCGTCAGGCCGAGGGGCGTGGCTAAGATCAGCGCCAGGACCAGAGACTGGCTGGCCGTCAGCATCACCACCAGCAGGAAGGCGACCAGGAGGCAGGGCAGGAAGAGCGGGGAGGGGTTCAGGAGGTAGCGGTGCACCGAGGCGGCCAGATTAGAGCGAGAGAAGGTGGCGAGAGGCGGAAGAGGAAGAGCGGAAAGGCTGGGGAAGGAGGCGGCGACGGCGGGACGGTTTGAAGACGACATGGAGGGGAAACGCGTCGGGTGCGAAGAAAAGGCCGCGATCATGTTAATGAACTTTGGAGGAAGATATTGTGTCAAAAACGCCATGAAATGACTCAGTTTAAACGCCAAGCTGTTAAAGAAGTCACGCAGGTTGGACGCGGTGATAAATTTTGGGGAAGCGACGCTGAAAATCTTGAATTTCGCAACAGATCCGGACATAAGTTTGAGCAACGCCGGAGTGAAAACGTGCAGCTTCTTCGTGAGCCCTGAAAATATCTTGGAGGGCAAACTTTTCTTCCCGGATATGGAGAGAAAACACAAGACGAAGGACACGTATTTAGCCACGGCCTTCGGACACAACCAGCTGCGCCAGTTCCCGGCTCTGGTTTCGGCCCGGCAGCCCTCCTCGAGGCTTAGCAGCTCCGAACCGGAGGCGGCGACCGGGGCGGAGGGCGGCGGGGGGTTCTGAGCGAGGCGCTCGAGATCGGCCAGCTGCTGGTCGGAGAAAAAGGAAAGCGTGTTGGAGGGGAGGGTCCACAGGGAGTGCGCGGCGGTGTCGTCGGCCCGGTCGTCGTCCTCGGAGATGTCCGAGAGGCCGTGGTCGAGCTCGGAGATCGAGTCGAGGGAAGGGGGGATGGACGAGAGCGAGGATGAAGAGGAGAAGGAGAGGGGGAACATGAAGATCGACTGATGGGGGAAAAGGAAAACAAAAACCAACACAGCGAGCACACGAGAGTGAAGAAAATCAACCGATGTGCAGCGAGAAATCATTCCGTATCATTTCGGTGAAACGATAACAGAAGGCAGGAGCATGCACGAAGGGATGTGAGGAGAGTGAACAGAGGAGTGTGAAGGGAAAAGAGAAAGGGAAAGAGACATTAGTCAGTGAACAACACAGCACACAACAGCTTCCAGTGAACACAGCAGGGCAGAGCTCAGTGCAGAGAGCAGGAGGCAGAGGAGCTGGCAGAACGCCACCGACAAGAGGTCAGATCCAAGGAGTGTGAGGAGGAGGAGGAGGAGGAAGGAGGCAGTGGGGAGAGGGGGGTGGAGCAGGAGGCATGCACAGGAACAGTCTGGATAAACTGGTTTGGTCGGGAGCGCCGTCCACGTCGGAGGATGGAGAGCGAACTTTACGTACAGGAGCTGCTCTGGTAAAGACCAGCTGCAGCCGCGTTCTTAAAGGAAACCATCAAACCAGGAAAGTTCTTGTTGGTGTGTGCAGTTCTCTCACTCACAAACATCATCAGAGACATTTGATGTGTTTTAACCTGCTGTATTTCCCCATTGATGTTCATATAGCAGCTCTGTGAATCATGCTAACCTTGTAGAATCCATCTAGGGGATATGAGCAGTTGCACAAAACAGAAAATTCACTGTACTTGAAGATGTTTAAACCCCACTCAGAGGTGTCATGGCCTCCCCTTTTCAGTGCCTGAAACTTCCTGCTAATTCAAAAACGAGCAAAGAGGTGGAGCCGAGGAGCCGTCCACACCTTTAAATATGCACAACTTCAAGCGTTTGTACAATTCAAACAGGTGAGTTTTTATACAAATCCACCCCTGAACAGTTGACACGAAGGCGGAAATTAGCTGCAGAGGTCAAAACAGTTCTTGTTCCAGGCATTAAACGTGTTTATTTCTGCTGTGAAGTTGGAGAGTTTAACATAGAGGTCTATGGGGATTGACTCGCTTTTGGATTCGGCCTCAAGTGGACGTTTGAGGAACTGCAGCCTCTTAATTTTTCAGCCTCCGATGCTGCTAAGTGTCTGCGATTATAATGCGCTTCCTGCAGCTTTACAAAGAACGCTGATTTTTACATTTTTAATTGTTTTGTCTGACTGAAGTTACAGCTAGCTGCTTTAGCGATCTCCGTCCTGGATACTTGCTTTCTGACCTAATCAGGACAAACTTAGCTGCCAGCTGGTCTAAATCCAGCAGGTCCTTGTACGGATCTCTACAGTACAAGTAGTGCACAAACTGCAGCGTGCATGCTCAGAGTAGACAGTACAGAGGTATGCAGGGATGCATCCTCCAAACAACAACGTTCCCTGATCTGCTGCTGACCTTTAATGAAAACTGTTGCTAAACGAAAAGAGAAAATCTCCACGAATCTACAAAATGAGTCTAACGCTGTCTAAATAAATAAAACTTTTCCCCAAAATGAATCAAGTATTGATCCACAATGACTTGAAACTTATCCAAAAAGATTTTAAAAAGGGTCCACAGATGAGAGGAATCCATCGGTGGAAGTACAACTAATGAATCTGCAGCTCTGGCTAACATCTTGTAGACGTTGTTTTACCTTCCTAAGGTTGACGATCAGCTCTCCTTATGCACCAGAGATAATATAGTGACAGTAAACGTCCGTCCCTAACCACACATTTATGTAAAAATCAGCTTTCTTTTTGCAAAAAAGCTGCAGGGAGCTCATGATACTTACAACCCATTAAACTCCCTGAATGTCGGAGGTGAAGTTAGCATCACACTCAGAGCCACAATAATCACATTAATGGGAAACAGAGCAGGCTAAAATAAACTAAAGTAGACAAAGGAGCAGCTGAATGACACTACATGAGGTATTTAAGTTACCCTGTGGAAAGAGAAATGTCGTTAGCATACTGTTGACATGTTACTGTGATGTCAGGTCGCAGTAATAACCAGATAGAAGAAGTCCAGGTGTTTTCCACGACCCTGATCTCACACAGTCAGCCATCACTCTGTTATTTCATCCTCGTCATTAAAGGGCAACTACTGCTGGTGTTGGCTGACAAAACTCCAACTATTTAAGCTTTTTATTCAACTCTTCCTGAGTTCACCTGCTGCAGAACAAAACATCAAACTTTGTTCACCGCGTCACCATCACATGAACCGTAAACTAAACCATGAAAAATAAACACAAATGTTGATTTCTGCACAAAAATATATAAAAAAAACCCAACATATGTGCAACTGAGCAAAGCAGTTGTCTTCTTCTACCTGAGACACACAAACACAAGCAGTTCCTGTGGGACAAAAACGACTCAAAGCACTAAAATTATCACAAAAAAAACACAGATTTTTACATCTTTTGTTCAAACGCTGCATGTAACTGGAGCTCGTACACACCTTGGAGTCCGACTGCAGCTCCAGATGTGGCTCTCGTCCGTTCTCGGCCGTGTCCCTGCCGGCCTCGGTGATGCTGATGACCGGAGCTGAGGAGCAACAAACACGGAAGAAAATCATCTCACACTGACGGAAACTTTTTGTTTTCAGTGACAAACTCCAGATCATTGGTTTGTTCTATTGCAGGAACGTGAATACTAAAACTCAAACCAATTATTAAAAAAGACAAAGTGAAGTGCTGTCAGATGCTTGATTTGAGGCATAAGACGGCGACAATCTCACTCCTCATAAACTACGACTCCTTTTAGAAACGTTCTTTATCACGTCTCCCTGTTTCTGCATTTTAGTTCCCTTAAAATGTGAAAATATGAAAACCTTAGAACAGACGTTGGCTTGCAGTAGAACAACGAGTCCAGCAGGGGGCAGAACAACACAGTAAAAAATAACCTGACACACAAATAAACGAACCAGAGGCGCACAGCTGCACGATCTGGGAGCCAAATCCGGAAAACCACAAAAAAAAACAAAAAAAAAGATGGTGTAAACTGTTTTCTAAATACATACTTTGCCAAAAACGTCTCATCTGAAAGCAGAACTGTGGCTCTACAGAGATAAAAAAAAACGTTTATCCTGCTTGTATTTCTGTGTGATGCTGTGTTTTTAAGTCAGTAACTGGTGCACACTTTATTTTTGCTGAACGTAAAGACTCTCTGTGACCCGTTTGGTCCTCTGTCTTAACGTGTGATTGATGCCGAAGCGGCTGCACGCTGCATCCATGTCGTATTTCTTCTTTCTTTTTAGATTTGCCTCTTCTTCATCTCTTTCGTTCTCCCCGTCTGCCTCTCACTGTGCGACGGGAAACATATGCTGCAGCTATTTCCTGTATCCCAGCGTTTTACATCCACACAAACACGGACCTTCGCTTAAATCCCGACTTCCGTCTCCCTCCATTCCTCCCATTCCTCTTTTTTTTTTATCTGTCATGTGGGTTTTTGTTTTTACCTCCGTCCAAGCTGCGGCTGATGCGCTTCGACGAGGTGCGCTCGAAGTTGGGCGCCGGCCGGTCGATGAGGGAGCTCGCCATGCGGGTCTGGGCCTGGGTCCGTCCGCTGTAGCGGAACTTGGAGCCCAAAGTCAAGAACCGGGCCTTGGTGGGAGGCTCTGGGGCGTTTAACCTGCCGGCAGAAGATGGACAAATCTCAATGGTGGTGAGAAGAAACAGATCTGGATGCAGAGACAGAGCAGCAAAATAAACCGTCACCGCTCGAAAACTAGAAGTCGTGTCCAAGATATTCTCTCACCAAACGAAGGACGCTTTTGTTTTGGACAAGCTGATGTGTTTTCATATATGTTCTGTGTTTTGTACAGATTTGGTGGCAGGTTACAGAAACCCTCCGTTTCTGATTTCCACCCAGTGTGTTGCTGCTCAGACATGATGAGAGTTGTGGTTGACACACTCTGAGCTCTGAGGGGATTTATGAGAAAACTATAAATCCTACAGCAGCGACATTCACACTGGGTGGAGGAGGACAGAAACACCTCCATGTTCATGTAGGAATCTTTCATGTGGAGTAAAAACTGTGAAAAGGAGACGAGACTAACTGCACCTTTCCATATAATTGTTTTGGTCAAAATAAAGCTGGACAAAAATTCAAAATCTCCCCCCAAAAATTCAGTAAACTTAAACTGCGTAAAAACCATAAAAGATACCGAAACACAAACGTACATGAATCACATTCAAAGCCGTGTGACCTCATTAAACTTTAAATGAAGTTTCTACTGGACACCATTCCAGAGCTACAGGGGTCCAAACATGGCTTGGTTTTGGAAGTTGCCCGGCTGACTTCCCGTTCATTTCAATGAGGATTTTTAAATCTCTACCAAGTCGTATCAAATCTTTCCCGATTGAGATGCACACTTTGAAAGCTGCGGGATGAGTTACACACTGATAATGTAAAGAATCTACAAGAAAATGCTGCAATGCTCATGAATTAAGGCTCAACTGAACCTTCATGTGGCCACGAGGACATTTTTTGGGGAGGAAATAAGAAAACTTTAACCTCAGCCCCCCATAACACACCAGTAATGCACATCATTGTTTTACGCTCAGGACATTAAAGACAAAACGTCCCCATTTCTGATCCGTCTGCCATGATGTCATTAAATCAAGCGTTTTATTTGGCTTTCGTTTTCCACTGGATCGTGTCATATGCAGTACAGTCTTTATTGGTTTTGTCGCTTATGGAGGCCAACAGAAAAAATGTTTACAGCTCAAATGGATTGGAGATACATTGGTGCTGATTATTGACACATCCCAGCCTGTAATAATCAAAAAATAATAATAATTTTCCCTTTTTACTTTATTGAAAATAATCATTTTTTCTGTCAAAAAATAACAAACTGGCAATGAAAGGGTTAAAAGCCTGAACATGAACGAATATTTGATATTTATGATCACGACTGATGTAGAGCAAAGGACATAAAAGTGGAAAATAATATTAATTTATCATGTTTTTCTGGTTTTGATGTAGACATTCTTGTCCTTAAACACCTCGCTGTAACTCCTTTTTAAACGAAGGGTTAATAAAATGCACTAGACGTGTACTTGCAGGAGGCGAAGGTCCTCCTCGGACAGGATATTAAAGCTTAGTCCTCCTTCGTACAGACGCACAAACACAACCACGGCGGGCACCTGGCCGGTCTTTGTGTTTTCAGTATTCGCTGCCTCGGGCATCAGACCAAACAACCACCAGGTTCAACTTCTTCTCTGGCAGGAGACGAAGCCTTTTGTTGATTTAGCGCCGCTGAATTTAATCTAACAAACTGTTTCTGTTCTTCAAGCTGCAGACGGTAAACCTCTGAGATCCACGTCTGTGTATTTACAAGCTGCTTTTTAGTGTTTTGCATATAAAACACAAAATAAAACAAAAAAAAAAACCCCAAACAGAACCTAAAATAATGTCAGAGCCATGTTCATCACATCACCTGTTTTTAAGCCTTTTTAAAAATATTTTCTTAAATTATTTTATAGTTGGACTCATTCTGAGATCCAGACTTTTCCACAAGTTTACCCACAAACTGATAAATGTCTGCGCTCCACGGTCAATACATTTCTAAGCGTTTGTTTTGGGAAACGATTTATTATAATTATCCTAATAGCATTTATTTTTTCTTTTTGCAACAGTTCTACTGGATATAATTGTAGTATTACATGCATTACTCCACACGTCTGCACATAAAGAACGGTTATAAACACTGAGCAGTATTAGATATAAAAGGATTTTGAAGTCATGTGACAGTTTTTGCCAATTTTGCTCTCTTTATATGAGGTTACCAACTGAGTTTGTGATTCAGTCACACACGTAGAAATGCATTTTTATTACTCAAACATTGAGTGTGAGAGTTATTGATCTGTATCTGAACTAAAGATTT